GCTTTGTCCCAGTTTCTGTCACTGAATTACATAAGAACAGTTTTTGATTTGAAATATTAAATTACTATATATGTGCTACAGTGAGGTTTATATCTTTATTAGGTATGTGTGTTTTTGAAGGGATGCCAAATGCTATCATTTTTCTGTAAAGCAAATTTTGGTATAAATAAAGTAGACTCATTAAGTTACATATCTTGGCCACTGTTTATTAGACACTGTTTGGTGTCGGTGTCAACTTCTGGACTGCAAAGCTGCCTTAAAGTCAAAACAACTCTTCACAGATTAAAGAAGGTCACATGAATGCATGTTGTGGTGGAGGGTTTGCTGAAACCCGTGGAGGGTGAAGTAGTGTGATTAAAAACATACTGCATGGTCAAAGCAGGCCGCATTAGAACTGTGGATAGGATCTCGTAAATACAATTCCCAGCCAGGTAACTCAATGGACAATAAACTAAATTTAACTTACATAACACTTAATGGGTATGTAGAGGTGGAAAAGTACAGATATGTCTATTTTCTGATTATTTTTACAATATATGCTGCAGTAATTTTCTCTAATTCCACCATTATTTGTCTTATTTTGTTTCATCAAAGCCTTCATGAGCCCATGTATATTTTTATTGCAGCTTTATTATTGCAAAGGTGTAGAGAAGTCAGGAAAAAAGCTGCACAGACCTGCTTACCTCACCTGCTGGTTTTATTCAACTATTCATTCTTCTGTACATGTGAAGTTATTATACTTCGACTGGAATCTGATATTTCACAGACTGTACGTTTAATAATGACTTTGCAAGTGGTTTTATATCATCCACTATTTAATCCAATCATATATGGACTAAAAATGAAAAAAATTTCTAAACACCTAAAGAGATTGTTCTGCTAAGAAAAGTGATGTACAACAAAGTATAGTGAGATGTTTGATGTTGATCCCTGAAACAAATTTATTGTTTATTTTATCAGATATTCTTTATATTGATATATCTCCTATATAAATATTGATTAATATCTCTTTGTACTTAACAATTATACTTTTACTTATTTATTTAACAATCTCTCACTTTGTGTGAGAATCAACATTTTATTGATGTGATGAAGTCTTCTTTTATAAATTGGTGAGGACTTCTATACTAACAGTCACATTTATAGCCACATGTTGACAGACTTCTCAAAATCATATGCAATAGAAAAAAGTAAAGACAAAAAGAAAATTAATTATGAAGGCAGCTCTTCATGTGGGCACTGATAGGAAAAGAAACATAGCTGTTGATAATAATGCAGATTTGGGTCCTGCTGTTAAATGAAACCTTCCCCTTGTATATGTAAGTATTCTTTTGCCATGTTATCAGACTGAAGAGTGACAAATTACTCAAACATAATAAGAAATATAAGAGTAGCACATGGGTGTAGAATTGCTAGCTAACAACAAGCTTGTAATACAGTGTGTTTTCACCATTGTTTTTTCCT